CATTGGTCTGGGCACCCAAAAGCAGCGATGTGCTCGTAAATAGGCGCGTGTAAAACCCAATCCTAAAGTGCCAAGTTAACACAAATCCTGGGCCACAAACACCAAGCTCGCCCTAAAAATGCGCGAATGGGTATCCAAGTACAGCCGGCATTGTCTCGCAATTTATCAAATTGTATCCTGGGCCAAGTGTGCCGACTTGGTTTCGGCCATTTCCGTTTCCGCATCGCTGCTTTTCACTCTTTGGCTGTGAAATATTTTCGGCCAGGCCCATAAAACTGCTGTAAAACAAAACGGCAACGCGAAAACTGTGTGTGTGGGTGTTTTCCGCTTTCCGGAAGAAACCATCATCCAAATGCCTGCCACGTGACGCACGAATGACAAACGATAAATGATAAACTTTACCAATTGAAGGCATGTCTTCAAGGATTGAGTCTTAATCTGTAGATGTACTCCTCCAGCTGCTGACTTTGGCTGGGAATCGCCCGGGATTTAATACCAGCTCACATCCGAAAGGTATACTCGCCAACTCGAGCTACACATCAATGGATTACCCTGATTACCAGGACACTTGTGGAAATGCCAGCAATCTGAGCCTCCAGGCTGAAAACAAAGGCAGGTGGATCGAGCTCCAACTGTATATGCCAGTGTATGTGCATTTGGACATATACTCGAATTAAAACGATGTCCATGGTGAACGCCCACTGTATCAGCAACCCAATCTTGGTAAAAATTTGTCGCACTGGAATTTCATTTATTCTGTTGACTCTGACTTTGTTGTGGTTGGCCAACGTGGCCAGACAGCTCCCCAAAAAGCAGAACTACACGTACAAACTGGTTTGGAGGAGCCGGAGGCCAAACTATTCGGAATCGGCAGCATTTGGAGTGCTGGAGTGCCGGAGTCCCAGTCAGGCCGGAAGCATCGAGTGAGAGCCAAAAACTTTGTATAAATCGTATTTGCGCCGAGAACTTTTGAGAGCTTGATCCAATTTTGGGCTTTATTAAATTGTTGACTTAAAATATTCATGCCGAAAACCTGGTTGGGCTCAAAAAAAACCAAAACAGCAAAAAATTGATGCTCGGCTAACTTTTTGCATTTGTTTTTTGTGGCGCAAGAGTGACAAAAAGGAAAATAAAAGCATGCCTTGTCCTTCGTCTGGGATTGTAAATTAAAAACCAATCCCCGGCGTGGCCGCTCAAGTGGAAAGCCCCGTCATTATCATGTGGACAGATGGTGGTGTGGGGGGGATTCAAGTGCACAATCAACAAATGCGAATCAAACTGCATGGACGTCGATGCCCCGAGGAGCAGCCAGTGGCCACTTGGTCATCAGGCCAGACAATCCGCGGCAACAATCGGTGCTCATCAGTGGCGGCCGTTTCGGTGGTTCAACAACCTCCGATCTCGACGTGGCTGGAAATCATCGCCAGACAGGCCAATCCAAGGCAAATACAGATGGCAATTAGTTGCTAATGATGCTGCAGGGCTTCTGCGTGGAGTGGGTGCTGCAAAATGTCTCGAATTAGCCGGATGTGGCAGCTGTACCAATTGAGTTCAATCAAAGCGACAAATGCCACGACGATGGGTGCCACTAAAGTTATTCCATTTTACTTCACTGTGTTTACTCTATTTATTACTGGAGGCACCCAACTGGCAGCCACGGGTGCGGGCATCCCGGAGCCGGCAATTGTCCTGTGTGTGCTGCTGGTGTCAGCCCAAAGACATTAGGCCGCATTATTTGGGCTTTGGCTATACATAATCCCCGCTTGTCTGCTGTCTGCTGTCGCCTGTCGCCAACGGCTGTCAGCTGCGCCTCCTCGGCAGGATCTCAAGGAGCCCGGCCAGCTCGGTGGCAATGTGCGTGTCGTAGAGTAGACACACTGGCACAAGCAACACAAGCACGTCATGGCCATGAGCAGCCGGCAGCCACCGCATCCGGAACAATGAGCCGGCAAACAGCGGACGTGGCACCGCCAGAGCCACCAGTACCACCTCCTGCGCCTTCCCCACGCAACGAGCAACAATCATTCCGTCGCGGGATAAATTAACAGCCCAGCTGGGCTGGCAGCCATCGAGTGCTCGATGAAAAGGCCCTTGTAAAATTCAGCGTCGCGCCATTAAGAGGCATACAGCAATCAACAGGAGAGGTCCTTCGAAGTCCTTGTGATGAATTCATCGATTTGCGACTGCTGCTGTGCGATTTGTGGAACCTAAGGTCCCCAGCATTTGTCTGCCCCTTTGGGTGGCCGGGTAATGGCTGGCATGGCTGGCTGTTTATGAATATTCCATCATTTGCCAATACTCCAGTCATTGGAGTAACGCTTCGATTATGCCCATCATTAAATGCGCAAACTAGAACTGGTACTTTCCTGGGATGAAGATAGTTCGGAATGGCCCACGCCCAATTAGCCGTTTACTGGTAAAATAGGTGCCCAGGTCCTTCATCGGTCCCCAATGGACGGCACTCATCGAGAGGCTCTTCCGCCACCACAGCTCTTGATCCTGCTCCTGAATCAGCCTTTAATCAGCTCTTTATGGTCGGAAATCGCGTACTGCGTGTGGAATCCCCAGGGCCCCGGCGAAAGTGAAATTCGGGTGCGGCTTTGATTGTTTGCACCACTTGACCACGTCCATCAGCAGCGTCGTCGTCCTGCCCTCCTGCGCTCCTCCTGCCGCACGGATCAGCGCCAAAACAAGCCACCATGCTGTTTGTGTCTGTGCGCCAGCCGAATGCCGATGGCAACAGCCAGTCCGTCCTGGCCAGCCTGGAAATCCACACCCAGCAACGCCCACATCCGGGCGGCCAGGTCAGGAGCGTGTCGTGAATATTTATACCTATTTGGAGGAGCGTGGCTGGCCGAGCATCTGCAAGTTTGATTGGAACCACTCCCCGGATGCTGAGCAGCTCGGAATTTATCGCCTAACGGACACTATAATTGAGCGGCAGTCGCCATAAGTTGGCCAAACAGGCGGCTGTCGCTCCGAGTGGCATCTTGTGACCCAGTTTTATTCCGTCTTTATTTTTGGCTGGACTGGGGCGATCGGGGGGTGGGCTGGCAACTTAACAATTCCTCACTGGGTAATCCGCTGTCAAAACTATTCGACGCTGCCAGTGGCAGTCCGACGGCAAGGACACACACATCCATATCCTTGAGTTGTGGCAGCTTCCACCGCTGTGGCATAAGGAGTCATGAATAAGAGAGCAGCGCCAAAGCAACCCATCATCCTCATCCTCATCATCATCCTCATCATCATCAGCACCATCATCATCAGTCGCCCACATCCGCCCGTCGACCGCAGCAGCGCGGCGAGCAGTTTGTCCTGTCATCAGATGAGATTGGTACATGTCAAAGTCACCGCATAACCATGTAGGACTCGGGCCGGAGTAAAAAGTAAAATAAAATAAATTAAATAAAGGCCAGGCTAGACTAGGCCAGCAGCTAGACTTACCCAGTGCTGAGTATCCCGCATTCGAACCCACGAAGTGACACACATACGTAGCTGCGCCTTGATTATAAGGATGTGGCTCGCATGCTTTTCCTCCCCGCTTTTTTCTGGCCAGGAGCAGCCTTTGCTGCGGAGGATTTGCCATAAATTAAATTACCCAAAAGCCCAAAGCAGATTTGCGAACCGAGCCGTGCCGCGCCGTCTGACAACAGCTCGTTTAGGGCCATACATCTTCCGGAATGCGGAGTACGGAGCACGGAACATGCCCGACCCGGGACTTCAGAATGAGGATGCGGACTTTTCTGCATACGACGGCACTTTCGCCGACGGCCTGTCAGTGCACATTTGCCCTTTGCCAAAGCCAAAGTTATGTGCATGAATAAAACGAATTGCAGCTATTCGCAACGCTTCATTAATCTGGGCCTCTGTTTTGGGCCAATCTCTTAACTTGGCTGCCAGGCTGTCGACATGAAAAATTGAGCGGCCTATCTGGCGGCGCGCTGCTGCATAATGCGATATTAATTAACGTGTCCATCTCGCATCTCAATCTGCTGCTCAGGCACAAGCTCATGAAAACCAACAAATATTATATCATGGAGTAAATGGAATGATTTGGTCGTCAACTTGGGGAGGAGGCAACTGTTTTAAAGACTCTTAAAGACTTACGTTTCCCTTAAATAACTCAAACTTGCAACCTAAGAAACCCAGAAGCTTTCAGATACACACTACTTACTCAACCCGCTGTTTTCTATTATTTCTTTTTAATTTTCATTGCTGCTGATTGATTAATTAAATGAGTAATTGGGGCGCTGATAAGCAGGAACACCGGAATGTCAACATTTGATAAGGAACATAAAAACACAAAGTACGAGCACCGCAAGTCCTTCACTCGGACTTTCCGTATCCTCGAGCAGCGTGGAGTGGCGAAGGGATTGCGCCCACTTCCACTTTAAAATAATCATCATGGCCCCCTTTTTTGGCCAGGCTGCGGTGGCTCTGGGCCTTAATTGTCAACTCAGTTGCTGTGCTGCGTACTCGACGAGGCGACGAGGCGACGAGGCGACGAGGCGACGAACCGAGCGCCTGGCAGCGCCGTAATGGCAAGCGGATGGAGTCCGGGACTCCGGGACTCGGACCCGGACCCGGACATAAGCGGCTTGTGCTCCACTCAACTGTCGCCTTTCGGAGCTGCTCCTAGCTCGCAATTAAAATACCCACTTGGGCCCTATAAATTGTGAACGAAGCAGCTGGGGCCGAGAACTAAAAAGTCCAGCCCTTGAGTGGCGTCCACTTAATTCCCAGGTACTCGCCCAAAAGGATTCCAACTATGAAGGCGTCCGGCGTGATGGCTTAAGTTTTACTCTGTTTATTTGCAGCAACCTTAGGAAGTTCAATTGAAACACCAATAGACTAGCGTCTGAGTTATTTTACGAGTACGATCATAATCACAAGTAGGTAAAAAAAATCCATATCCATATTTCCCTTACTTAAAAAACAAACACAAAAAAACCACACGCAGTTCGCATATCGTACATATTTACACCGCTCCTCGTTGATTCCGGGCGAACTATGAATGGGTCCTTGGGGGCCAATCCTCTACAGCTTAGAGCCGAGGACTGTTGGCGGTGACGGCGGCGGCGGCGGCGGCGGCGGCGGCGGTGGCACTGTTGCTGGTCACCACCGCATTGATGAACTCGTGGCGCGAGCGACTCCGCCAGGTGCCCATACCCATGGCTAGGCCGGGATTGAGACTGATGTTGGTGTTGGTGTTGGCACTGGCATAGGCGCCCGCTCCGGCACCCGCCTGGCTGGCGGAGAGACCACCAGCTCCAGCGGCACCTGCTCCACGGCGCCAGGGCAGCCCCTTGAAGGTGTCCACGAAGGCGCGCCGGAAGCTGGCGTTCATGAAGCAGTAGGTGATCGGGTTGCAGCAGCTGGAGGAGTAGGCCAGCAGCTGGAGGAAACTGATGGCCGTGTAGTCCACGTACTCGTACACCACCGGTCCAATCAGCATGACCATCGTGTTGATCACGTACAGCGGCGTCCAGCAGATGAAGAACTCCAGCACCAGGACGAACAGCATCTTGACCACGCGCTTCTTGCTCTCCAGCGTCTTGGCTTCGTTGGACCTGCATTGGATGTGGACAGGGGAAAATCGGTTTGGCGGACCGGACCGGATCGGATGTCAGACGCGAATCCTACCTGCGAAGCGCCGCATCGTGGACGCGAATGCTGGGCGAGGAGCTCTTGGCCAGCGTGGTCACCGTCGTCGCCGTCGTCGTCGTCGTCGTGGTGGTGATCACAGTTGGAGCCGCTGGTCTCGTTGTCAAGGTGGTCGTTGCCATATTGGTGGATCCGCCGCCTGCGGATCCCTCTGAATTGCCATTATTGTTGTTACTATTTTCTGTGAACACATAAGCCAAACATTTGTGGTAACTCATCTGCTCCAATATTTAAGACTCCTAAAAATGAGAATTTCCTCTTGTGCATTTCCTCGTAAATCTGTGTCACATCGGCTTAAAGTATTATCCCACACTATATTATGTTATGGCAAATGTAAAAATCGACAAAAATCATTCTTTGACGAAGTAATACTTGCCTGCACTCATAAATGCACTCATAATGCACTCATAATGCATTCATAATGCATTCATTCATGCCTCATTTAATATGGAAAAAGCCTTAGGTTTGTGAGTATTCGTACACGACTAGGAATACCTTGCAGATACCAACCATTGTAGACGGCGGTGGCGGTCAGGACCAGGATGCAGTTGCTGCTGCTGCTGGTGCCCGGATTCGATGCACTTCCGCCGGCTGTGGCAGCGGAAACAGGCAGCGATTGCTGCAGGATGCGGCCGCTGTCCTTGGCCATGCCCACGTAGAGGGTGCGCGTAATGAGGATGTAGGCGACGCAGAGCACCACAAGCGGCAGGACGAGCAGCAGGAAGTCCAGCAGGATGTTGTAGAAGAGCTCGTATCCCTGGTCGGGCCAAAACTCGCGGCACTTGCAGTAGCCTGGAACCGAAGGGGTTAGAAAGGAGCGGAGGATGACTGGCCAGCTGGCGTCCACTCACCCGGGCGACTGGTGGGTATCAATTGACTAAAGACCGCTATGGGCGTCATGCAGAGGATGCCGCCCAGCCAGATGAAGCCGATGATCTTGTAGGCGTGGCTGATTGTCTGCCAGGATCGCGAGCGCAGCGGATGGCATATGGCGTAGTAGCGTTCGCAGGATATGGCCACCAGGGTCCAGGACGAAACGGCCACGGAGGCGGCTGCAAGAAAGGAAGCGGGTAACCTTAGAGCCAGCCTTGGAGCACGCTGGACACACCTAGCTCCTGTCGCGCGGCTCCTTCGCCCGCACTCGTCGCATTTTAATTACACAATTTGCATATTAACCGCAGGCGGACAAACGCTCATCGCACTTCTGCCTGTTCTTAGATTGCGACAAACAGTGCGCGATGCAATTTGCGGAAAGTGCAATTAAGCAATTCCCCAGCCACTCCTTTGCATGTGAGCCGGCTGGGGGATTTCCCATTGTAAAGCAATTTGCTCCCACGCCCTTCCTTTCCGCCCTTGAATTCCCACAGCCGCACTTTCATCCTGCGAGTATCGATGGTGCAACACAAAGGCACTTCTGCGAGTGTGGGTAAGCCTATATTGGAAATCGGCTGTACACGGAAAAAAGTTTCGATTGAAGAGGTTGACCGAAATTAAAGAGTATATACTCTGTAGTTGAAAAGCTGAATTCATTACGTTTGCACATAAAACTGTCCCAATTCAGCTGATGAACTGGCAAATGAAATCATAATTTGTTTGCATGCAATAATCCGCTTTGTACATCAAAACATTTGTGAAATTCGCAAATATATGTTAGACTTGAATGCAATAAGCTGTTAGGTATCCGAAATTATTAATTGTTGTGCTGCCGGATACATTTCTGAATTTGCAGATACGAGTATATGTCTGCTAATTAAGGCATACGCATCGGACTCAAAAGCCAGGTGCAGCGAGGTCAATTGAACCAAAATCAGTAATTAAGACTGCCTGCATCCGAGCCCGACACCCCATGCAAGCAATTAAGGTCCACCCTAATGCGCCCTTTCCCTCAGCTAGCTGCTACACAGTCCAGGAAAATTTTGATGGGGCTGAGGGGCAAAGCCGCCTTGAATTGCATTACCTTTGCGTTGCAATTGTTTACTTTATGTTTTAATTATGCACGCAACTAATGGGAGTGGGCAGCCAGGGTCCACCCCAATGCGGCGCGCCCTTCAGCTGCATTGTCACATTGGAGGCGCCCCCAAACGCGTTTGCCGAGTTAACCCCCCGAAATTGAAGTTTACTTTTGATTGACGGCTGTGTGCGGCGCTCTAAGCCAGAAATACTAGCACGCAGCAGTGGCATGTGTGCGCTAAAACTTAAAACAAACAGCACTTCCATTTCCATTTCCATATCCATTTTTGGCTGGGTTTTGGTTTTCGCCAGCTCAACTTTAAGGCTTTTGGGCTAAGCAGCTTGATTGATTCGCGCGCCGAGTCCTGACAACTAAATCATTGCGGGATGCCAATACAAGCCGCCAAAGTCTTGCAGATGCTGAAATGCTCTGCATACTACAGCCACTCGTATGTCTATATGTAGTAATGTGTATGGACTATGTATACCCCGTATACATGTGCGTAATTCAATTGGCAAATGCAAAACTGACGGCAAATAGGGCGGCGACGGCAGCAAATGACGAACCCAAATTGAATTCGATGCCGCCCCCTTATGTTTTTCTTTTGGCAACTGATTGAATTTGATTTGTGCGCAGAGTGGGCAGCAGCCCACACACGCCTTTGAAAAAGGCCAGAAAAAGGACTTGGCAAAAGGACTAGGATGGCGATGGGAACGCAGACGTGTTGAGCATATTACGCATACGACACGCAGTCCTCGAGCCCCGCATAAATATGCGACTCTGACAGGCCGGAATTTATAAGCGTCAGTTGGGTGATAAAATTTGATTGCCGCAAATAAAAACGACCACACTCAGCAAAAAAGTGTGCCCCCAATTGTCCAAAGTGGAAGTGCGAATGCAGAGCTCTTTTTATGCTTATGGAGCCACTTAAGTCTGCTGTCCAAGGAACCATGTGCTTGTCACTTGAGCAAAAGTGTACAAATATTTACTTCAACATTTCTCAGGCTATGACTTTTAGTTGCACAGCTCGGCGGCTGTGGAACTTGGAAAAAGTTCGACTTTTGGGAGAAATTTAAACTGAGTTTTATGGCACACAAATATTTGTGGCGCAAAGCCGAGGAAATAGTTGCCAACTCCATATGGAAAGTACTCTGCCTTGGCCAATTTCTTTAGGTGTATGCAAGGCACAGAAAGACCACAAAAATGTGCTTTGACCAGACTCAAAGGAAGGAGAACGCTTGCGTGCCTGTCGCCTTAGAGGAACTTGCTCCGTGCTCCTGGTCCTCAGATTACACCTGCAGGCGGTCCGGGTTCGCGTCGCCTGTCGCTCGACCGAGCAGATTGAGTGCTTCTCGCAGATGATGAAACATATTGCCCGAATGTGGGAAATGGGGCAGGATGTGCTGCCCATGAGCCTGGCCAGAAATGCTGCCTGTATTAGAACTGCTGGTGGCTGGGCCAAGTCCCCAAATTAGTTAGCCATCAGCCCGAGTGACAGACAATCAGATGCGGTCGCTGACGGGAAAGTGACAGGGCGGAGAATTCGCACTCCCGAGTTGGCATCGGTGGCATCGGTGGCATCGTTGGCATGACCAGCCACAGGCTTTTAAGTAAAAGCGGCTACATTTCCCTTCCAAATTGCGCACATTGTCAGCGAAATTGGTGCACAGCCGGCTTGCTGCTCCATGTCAAAGGAATCAAAGCGATTTTCAGCTCCAAACTGATTTAAATTCAATGAATCCGATTCCAGCAAATGCATTCGCTCTAATGCGGGGATTTCCACTCGCGATGTATGTACATAGTGGGGTGTTCCGGGAGCTGAGTGGAGCACGGGTATGCGCTGGAAAGCCTGGCAAAGTTTGATGAAAAACGAAATCAGAGTTTGCCCAGACATTCTATTTAAGTTGCAAAAGAAGCAAAGTTGCCTTTTATCGAATTAAGTACTCCAAAGTGGCTAGGTGGCTAGGTGGCTGGCTGGGCGCCCCACTCGGCTAAGCTATCATCCCATCCAGAGGCACAACTCTCCGCAAATCCTGGCCAATCCTCACATGTCTGGAGCAGGTTCAGCCGAGCGTGGCCCTCCTTGCGATATTAATATTGTTCTCAAGTGTTTCATTACGAATTCCAGATCCAGATTTTAGATCTCGCATTTTGCACGGCACGTGCAGTTGGCATGCGGGGCAAATGAAAGTTGCTGCCGTTGCCGAAACGAGTGTGCATTAATTAAAAAACTTCATGCCCAACAAATCCCGAAAGGCAGCAAACTTTTCCGAAAACAGAGCCCTCGAAAGCGACAAAGTTGGACGACTTAGTTTCCTCCACACAGCGTTGGCCAGAGGCAGTTTTTCCCGGAAACATCTTTGCTCTTATTTATGAACAACAATTAGTCAAGGAACACTCAGAAGTCCTGCTCATCAGCACAAGTGCTCCACTGGCTGGCCAGTGCTGGCACCCCTTTGCTCCAGGGGCTCCACTTTACTTTAAAATGGCACTTTTTGCACCTCGCACAATGTGTGCATATGACGCCCCACATCCTGAAATCCTGCCGCTGTTTCCTGCCACAGATGTTTCCCCGTATAGCCTAAAACAAAGAATCCCCCGCAGCGGGCACAAATGCTAATGGAAAAATGTTTAAAATGAACTGCGACGAAATTGGGGTTTCCTCATTTGCGTCTGTTTGGGGAGTGGGCACAATGGCCCCCAAGTCGAAAAAACCACACACTTGTTTATATCCCGGCCGATCACTTGGGAAACAGCAAGTGCTCCTGGCCAAGAGTTTTCCAGACCTTAATGCCAACTGAAAGACTTGGCAAACCAATCATGAATGCTGAACCAAACATTAATGCACTCAAATCAATGGGGCAAAGGTCAGCTCTCGAAAAAGTTATTGTAGTTAGAGCCTTGAGTTTATTTCAGCCATAATTAACTAATTCTTAAAGTAAATGAAAGTAATTCTTTTCAACTTAATATCGGTTTCGTGGAATAAAATCTGGAATACCTGACGCTGAAAATGCGAGCAAGGACGATATTTCTGGAATTTCTGAAATAAACGTTTGAGGACGAAAATAAAAGCCATCCGAACCCTGGAGCTAATAAGGCGCCACTTGGACACCTCGAATTCCCAGGCACCACGGTTTCAGAAACGCCCACACGCCGTTTGCGCCCCAGTGACTCCGACCCTCTTGTTTTTTTAGTGCCCATGCTCCACATTTCCCAAGGGCAACCACTGGCGCCATTAGGAGGAGGGGACTGTGACCGCGTTTGTGATGTTCTGCCTGTAATTGCAGAACCGCCGCCAGCTCCTCCTCCTTCTCCTCCTCCTCCTCCTCCTCCATGTGAGCCATGTCACATGGGTATGCTGTGCTGCATGTTGCATGTTCCCCAGGTTCGTGACGCTTGTACCTGCCACCAGGAGCAGCTACATCCCGGCCCGCCTCCCCGGGCCGCGCCAATTGAAATGGTTATTTAATTCGCCGCTCGGTTCGACTGCACTCGACTGCTGCGGGGATTGGGGCCAAAAGTATGCAGTGCCGCTGCACACAGCTGCCTTAAATTGCGCAGCCAAGTATGCTACGCATTTGCGTTTGCGTTTGCGTTTGCGTTTGCGTTTGCGTTTGCTTTTTGCCTGACAGCAACCACAGGAGCCACAGGAAGCCACTAATGTCGGGGCCATCTCGCCCAGTGACAACTTTCCCAGTGACGCACTGGGCAGCCGTTACCGAAATCCCGACGTCCTGAAATCCGGAAATCCGGAAATCCTGAAATCCTGAAATATGTATTTACACTCCGTTGCTAATGCGCCATTTCACATAAACAAAAAGAACGAGCTGCCAGTTTTCGGCCAGAAAGCCCATTCCAATGTCCGTGGCCCCCAAGTAGCGCCGACAAATGTCTTTTTAATCACGTCCAACTGCTGTCCCGCCAACGCGCTTGATTTGAAGTTACGGCATGCGATGGCCATTGGAGTCTTAGGGATACACGGTATCCGGTATCCGCATCCTGCGCACTCCGTCAATAGCATGGGCGGGCCAAAACGATGATTTTCATTTTCATTTTCATTTTCATGTTCATGTTCCTGGAAAACGCGGCACGCACAGGGCTATGGATATGACACCAAAGGGGTAAGCCGGAGGAGACGGAAACGAGGACAATGTATGCCCACCTTTTACCCAACTTGGCAGCGTGACAGAGCCAATAAAGCGATCCACATGCGGCGATAATCGTAAAAAATTATTTTAATGCCCAACCAAGGAACCCAGGGACCCAGGAACCTAAAAACCCAGAAACCTGGGAACCCAGGAATCTAGGAGCCAAGGAAACTACGAATTCGTGTGGCCCCCACTCACATGCACCATAAACAGGGCCCTCAACTTATGCATTTGTAATTCCAGCTAATTGAAGGCTGCAGGAGATGGGGGAATTGGGCCCACTAAGCTAATATCAGGCGGTTACTTATGATGTCGGAGAACGGAGCTCCACTGGTACAGGTCGTTAAGTGGGACTAGGCACTTGGGCATTTAGGCATTTAGGCATTTAGTGGTTGCTGTGTGGTGGGAGGAGGCGACTCACCTTGGGAGAACTGGAAGAGCTTGCAGAGGAACTCGCCGAAGATGAAGTTGCGCAGCAGGGTGCCCACCAGGGTGACGGGCATGCAGAGCACGCCCAGCAGCATGTCCGAGATGGCCAGGTTGAGCAGGAACACGTTGGTTATGGTCCGCATCCGGCGGTTCTGCACCAGCGTCGAGATGACCAGCAGGTTGCCCAGCACGGCGAACAGCAGGATCATGCTGTAGCTGGGTATCAGCCAGACGGGCATGCCAGTGGAGCTGCTGGAGCTGGAGGCGGGAGCGGGTGTGGAGGCGGACCCGGCACTTGGGCTAGAACTGGAACTGCCACTGGAACTGGTGGCCAGGAAGAAGGCCATTTCGGTGGCCAAGTCACTCGGCCCGCTGTCCATATAGCCCTCCTTGTCTGTCGCATTGCCGCCGTTTCCAGTCCCATTGTACGGGTCCACGTTGAGCGACACTATGTGACCCGCCGCACTGGGCGCATTGGCATAGTAGTCGAGCAGTGCCCGATAGGCAGCCGCCGCAGCCATGGCCGCCTGGTCTGCGTCCGCCTCCTCGTAGTTGAACATCCCGGAAGGCCGGGTGATTCGTGGCAATCACTGGCCACCACCGTGCGACATGTCTGTTTAGGTCACCGAAAAAAAAGATGCAAACTTCACTCAATTGCAGTTGAAACGGTGACGCTTGCGCGCAGGCTGGCGAGGATTCTGTTATGGAAGCTAGCTCGGAGGTACCGAGCGCACGAGGTGGCGGCTATGGCTGCCAGGAGAGGGCTCGCCTGCTACCGCTGCGGGTAACGCGTCGTGGGCAACTGACGACTGGCGTACGAGGAAGACGCCTTCGCTCTGCTGGGTCAGTTGCCGCAACATGTTGCGTGGGCGTGGGCGATGCCGAATGGCGCAAACTCACCACGGCAACTTGAGGCCAGCAACATCCTGCCGGGCAGCCCTGTTGCCGAGCAACTCCCATGTTGCGCGGAGGACGTTCCCTCCGCGATTGCGACAAATTAACGGTGCACTGCATCCTCCTCTGCGTTTTATGGCGCTGCTGCAGCTGCCGCAGCTGCCCGGCCCACGCACCACGCAAATCATCAAGTCAGCCGCATTCCTACGCCACTTGAGTGCCCGAGCAAACAATCTCGGCTCGTTATGTATTTGCACAAATGTTCTGCGCTAATTCCAGCCGACACGACGGCAAGCTGGCAGGGATCAGTGCTGATCTAGCCATAGTCTTGGGTATGTGGCGTTTCATTTCGATGAAGCCCACTTGGCCAGACGTGCCACAGGTGTCCGTGCTGTCGTTGTCCTTTCTGGGGCCACTCTTTGGCCAGGCGTCGCGATGGAATCCTTGGTTCCCAGCTCCTCGAAAGCCTCCTCGCTTTGGATTCAGTTTGTAGCTCCTCCTCGAGAGCTTCAGCTGCGCCAGCTTGGGGAGTCCACTCTGAGTTCGAATTGTACTCCAGGCGTAATGGCTGCGCATATGGATAGAGGGTGGCGGTGCAGCATTTTCTCGCGGTGTACGAGTAAAACACTAGCCAACATCTGGCTTTTTTTTGGTGCTTTTCGAAATGCCTGCACTGCAAATGAAACTGAAAATAAAGCCAAATGCGGCGACATCGTCGCAGTTGGCGCTCTCTCGCTCGCTCCCCGGCAAGCTGTCTCTGTCGCACCAGCTGTATGGCCATCAGCTGGCGTGGGGCCTCTGCCCAGTGCATCTCGCTCGCACCCACGGCGACCGCGCCGCCGACTTCGGCGATCGACGGACGACGGACGACGGTCGGCACTTCATTCGGAGTTGCAGACGCCGGCACCGCCGCATTCGTGAGATACAACTCGTGGTGGTCGGACGAAGTTCAGTGGCTGCTCTGGTATCTGGATATCTGGAACTGTGCTCTTTGTGCTTGCATTGTGTTCCTTCTCTGGCGCTGTGTATTTTTGTTTTCGTTGTCACTCTGCCACTTTGTCCACCTTGCAAACGGTCCGCTCTTCCCGCCGGACCAGCGCTCCGATCCCCCTCCAGACTTACTCGCGATCCCAGGAAGCAGTTCCCAGAGCACCAGCATCCCAGCTGCGCATCTAGAACCATATCATATCCACACATCCACATCCAGAACACAGTGCACCAGCATGTCGGACGGCATCGAGGTCGAGCAGTTGGTGGAGAGCAAGCCGAGAAGGGTGAGTAGTGGGGTGGGCACACATGGAGTTCCAGTTGGAGCGGCAGTGGGTAGCCAGAGCAGGGTCGGTAGTCCTGCTCCGGGCAGGGTCCATGAAATGTGTGTGTATACAGGCAGGGGACGACCGAAAATTAAGAGTTATAAAAGATTGGATGGGGCAGTCCAGAGAGTCAGAGAGCGGCCGGAGAGACATCTTATAAATACACCGAAAGAAACCGTGTACCTAATATGCTGCGTCAATCCGGTAGGACAACTTTGAAAATCGAGGAAAGTTTAGTTGCCAATCTAAAGAAAATACACAATAAATAAATGGATTAATCTTCTCATCTTATAGTTGAGAATCTAAAAAAATAAGAAGTAAATAAATGGATTAATAATAACATACACATCTTATGAGCAGGGAGAATTGGTTAGATTTAGTTTAGTTGAGAATCTAAAAAAAAAAAATAAATGGATTAATAATAACATACACCATATAGCCATTTTTGAAATAGCTACAATAATATGAACGTTCAATTACCAACAGTGGCATTGAACTCGGACATTAGCTCAGGGAATAAAGAACCCTTCAAATAGCAGATGCCATACGGCTTTCTCGCGGTGTACACTCCGGAGTTGCCGAAGCCCAGGCCCATGCGGCGTGTGTGTATCTCGCTGGGCATGCGTGAGTGTCTGTAAATAACTCTGGCATTGGCTCGCCGGCGACTCCGCTCCACAAGAACCGGCCCCAGAGGGCCAGAGGTCCAGGAGGCGGGGTGGCAGCTGGGTTTTATGGCTCTGGCAGGGGCAGGGACAGGCACCGAATCTCGAGGGGCATCATTTCGGCTCGATGCGATTGCGGGGGCGGATGCAGATTGCGGGGGCGACTCCGAATCCAAGTCCAAGCCCAAATCGGAATCCGAACGCGACGCCTTCGATGCGTTGCATATCAAGTTCAAGTGCGTTTTCCGTGCACTTGCTCTCGGCTCTCCAGACACCATCGATACCCAGCGAAGGCGCTGTGGTTACTGCGGCGGATTCCGTCTCCCTTGGCCAACACGTATAGCTTTCCAGATTACGCCGTTTGGCGGGCAATGGGAGCCGGCGCAACAGTTGCAGCGCCATTATCTTTGGGGTACTTCGTTCAGCTGATCGCGAGATCTGCGATTCATGTGACTTTTGGTGCACAGCACTTGTTCGTAAACCTAATCTCTATGGCTCCAGACAAAGAGCTTGTGCCCAGCAGGCAGGTTGATAAATAATTCCATTTCGAGGCTTCCAAGTGGAGGGAGCAAAAGGAGTGGGTGGGCATATTAGCCATTCCACACCCCCTCCAATGTTCCGAAATCGCTTCCTGACGCGCCAATTTTGGTCATCCGCTCCCCGAGTCGTCGTTGTCGTCGTCATCGGCATCGGCATCGTCACCTTCAGGCGGCATGATTCACGCAACCCCATCCCCATACCCATACCCATCCCCATCCGGAATCCAAGATCCCCCGACTCCGGGCGTCTGGGGCGTGAGCAGGCACAAAACAGTTTGCTCCTTTGTTTCCTGCACTGCTGCATCCACACGCTGTGTGTGCGTGTGGAGTCGCGAGTGAAACAGAATAAAGTAAAATGAAATAAAATTAAGTAAAGTGAAGTAGGGAAAAGAACATTGACATATCGGCGGTCCCAGACCCGGAGCAAGTACGTCATTGGGACGGGGCTGCGGCAGCTGGCAATTTGTCACTACATCGCGATTTATTTATTTATTTTTCGTTTTGGCCTGGCCAAGGCGAAGCGGTTAATAACCGATTCGCTGCAATTTATTGGTTATTTTTCAATTGCCTTACTGATGCGGCGTTCAGCGCAGTGAGTCAGCTGCATCGACCCAAGAATATCCCGCATATTGTGCCTTCACTGTGCCACATTTTGTATATCTGCATGGCCTCTCCTTTATTTCGCTTTATTCACGCCCGATCGTATTATTTGGAATTTTTTCCGTCGCTTATCTGAAATTCATTAGTCAACATAAAACACTTTCGGTCCACTTGTACATACATAACGAAAGCGAATGAAACACAAAATGTGAAGTGCAGTCGAAAGTTATACTTGGCGAATACTCTTACTTTGATTGTCCATGCATCAGTATTTGCTTTATGAGCTCACGCTTTATATGAGCATGGGATATTTGAGATATAGTATGATGCATATATCATTTTGAAACAATGCCAGTGCACACACATACACACATCAAATGATATAATACGCTGAGCGAAAAATATCTGCGAAGTTAGTGTTTTAACTCTTCAGTTCTGCGATCGCTGGCTGTTTCCTTTGGTTTAATATTCTGATTTAATAGGTGTTCTATTAATTACTAGGAACACTTTCTCCTAAGGCTTCTAGCAGAAGTGCAATTATTCTAAGTATGCACTCACTGATATCTTGCAGCTATTCCCCATTGACTTTGGGTTCCAACTGAGCTGCAACTGAGATACCTTTCACAAGGGTATCAGCTTTGAGTTACGCGGCAATTCAGTTTTGAGCACTTGGCCGGCGATTCGGTTTCGTTTTCGTTTTCGTTGGCAATTTCGTTAGCAATTTTATTTGCAGTATTATGCTTGGTTACGTTTAGCTGCAGTTATAGCCGCGTTTGATGCATCGCCGGCTCGCTCATTGCCAGATATCGATGGATATACACCTATGTATATAAAGTGGCAATGCAACGTGCTGTATGAATGCACATATGGGCATATATGGCTCATTACGTATAAGTATCTATCGGACATGGCCGCATGCCATTTGAGTGGAGCGAAATGTTTGGCAGATGGCTTTCCTGTTGGGAAGGTGGCTAACTCAATGGAGTTATGATTATTGTTTGTTGCAAATGAAACGGAAAACATGTATATATTTCCTGTCTTATCAATTATGGTCGGGGTCTATGCGGCTCTCTCGAGCATGACGCACTCTGGAACTAATCTCCCCTTCTGATACCCTGCAGCAGCAAGCCCAATATCTCAATTCCTATGACTAAGCGCCAACCTCTGGTGGATTTTTATGGTGTGCAAAATTGGAACAGTCGATCCCTGGAGATTGCCAGATTGCTGAGGGGATGGCTCGACTTACCCGGCACTAATTGCCCGGGCGATCCCAAGAACTTTCTGTAATAAATCAATTTCAATTCGTATAGTTTTGCGACAGTTTTCTTATCAGTGTTTTGGGACCATATACTTGCGTCAATTCCGGAGGAGGGGCTATCCGAGACTATCCTATCCAATCTTTGGGTGCACTCCCAGCCCAACCGGAGTGATCTAATTTGTCGTGTTGTCATTGTTCCAGAGAAGGAGATATGACCATATTCATAAAGTGTGTAGGTTTACGAGTATATGTGCGCACGTTATCAGGCTTATCGGTTGGAAACTTAATTTCAGCTAATTTTAGCCAACAAATTGGCCCGCGTACCCATGGAGGTTGCAGGAGGGGCACCGATATACATTTGTATCTGCTATCTGGTTGTTTGGGGGAAAATTTGTTGGGTATTTTCGGTGGGTCATTTGCTGCAACGGTTTCTTGGTCGTCCGCTCTTTTTGGCACAGTTTGCGTCCGCATCTTCATTTTCGCCTTCCGACTAATTAATTCAGAGCCACGAAACGGGAGCTTCAGACAAGTTCCATAGTTCTATGCGACCCATGGACAACATACATCCATATACAAACTCCAAGTTCTCACTGCGCTGCGTTGTGAAAGTCGTCGCGCGAATCATCTTTGGGTTTAATTGTTTGGCGTTTGATATTTTCGGCAGTCGTCGCTTTTCTAATTGATTTTTCTCACCAGACGCCGTACTCTCCGGTCATTGAACGCATTATAGAGCGATCTCTATCTCCGTCTTCCCATCGGTATCTGTATATGTATCTGTATCTGTATCTGTAGCTGTATCTGTATCTCTAGCTGTATCTGTATCTCTAGCTGTATCTGTATCTCTAGCCGTATCTCTGGCCCGGCTTCAATGTCTATTTATACGCGAGTCTTGTTCCTGACTCCAAGCCCGGTCTGCTAGGTGGCAGTTGTACCAGCAGCAGTTCGGTTGCCTTTGTTTGTTGTCATCCCGTTGCGACGACCCCAAGTCACTTATCAAATCTCTGACCTGCTTTCCGTCGGCTACTGATTGAAAATTGTCACGCGTTAATTGATTTCAATGCGGCGATCCGCTTAAGACAATATGGGCAACCACAGAGTGCACTCCGTGAAAGGGTAGTTTTCCGAACCATACGTACTTGGCTCTATATGTACTATAGCAAACCCATCGATCCGATCGCTTTTCACGCTTTCCAAGCACCTAAGCTGCGCCCAACTTTGTGCACAGAAATGTGTGTTGATGTCTTTTTATGATACCGCAAAGTCCACTTAATAAATCACAATTAAAAGTAATCTTCGGTTTTAAAGTTCCCTATCGAGCAATCGAACTTATCAAGCAATTTAAATTCATTTACATATCAATAATTTTACAATATCATGGGCTTTGAACCGGTACCCTCATATGTCTGTACTATTCTGATATTATCAAAAAATTGTATAATATAAAATGCGGGTATGCTCAAGCTTATCATTATAAAGCCTTTGGGTTCGAAATAACTGCTTTATTTTGCCTACTTTTGCACTGGGCCGCTGGTATTGTGTTTGCGAAGCACTAAAGTGGCAACAAATTGCTTTCCGTGAATCTGCCCGCACGTAATGCAAGTGGGCGATGCAGTGGCGTGCCGTCTCCTTGGGCGTTTTTGTGGTTGCCTGACACGGAAATAAGTCGAATTGAATGTAATATACCATCGAAAGCGAAAGCCCCGATCAAATCTGACTCATAGATGGCGCCGTCAAGAGTACTTGGCCCCGGATTGAGTGCATTTGAGTGATTAATACATTCATTATCGATATGGTGATTTGCCTTGGCGGAACGAGGCGGACTTGGAATACATAATTAAGATATATACTTCCGACTGGAAGTGGTTCCTAATCCCTTTTCGCTTGCTCATAATCCCCAGATGCCGCTGGCCACGTCGCTGGAGAAGGACTCGATTCGCGAGGCGTACGAGGATGTGCGCTCCGATCTGACGGACACCGAGTGGGCGGTATTCAAGTTCGATGGCGCCCAGATCATTGTCCATGCACGCGGTCAGTGCTTCGAGGAATTCCGACAGCAGTTCGGTGACTCGGAGCGTGCCTTTGGCTACATACGCATCCAGATGGGTGACGAGATGTCCAAGCGCAAGAAGTTCATCTTCCTGACGTGGATCGGCCAGGAGGTGGGCGTCATCCAGCGGGCCAAGATGTCCACGGACAAGGCGCTGATCAAGGATGTCCTTAATGTGTGTAACCAGTAGCTAGATGCTAGATGCCAGATGCTGAAATACATCCTCTAATCTCTACTCACTTGCAGAACTTCGCCGTGGAACTGCAGGCGGGCGTGGAGGCCGAACTGGACATTGAGCTCTTCCGGGAGGCTCTGAACCGTGCCGGCGGTGCAAACTACGGAACGGGCATCCGGGACAACTAAACGTCCTCCAAGTTACTTTATATATACATACAATTTTTTTTTTGCAACTCTTAACTCTTACCAAACTGCTCCTTTCTCTTTAATTATTATGAATTAATTTTATGAAATTTAAAAACTGTACATTTTATGTAATATTATACAAGCAATTGTAACATTACTGGGTCACCTTGGTTTTTCTCACCATCCTTATTGGTTTTAAGAAGACAAAAATGGTACGAGAATATGTTTCAATACCGATGTTCAACTTCAAAACCGGATGTGAAATCATTTTAGATGCCATACATTAAGTTGGGTGTTGAATTGCATTGATGATGATACAATGAGTTTGTTCAGTTTTTACTAAATCAACGTATAGTGGAGACAGACAATTAAAAATACAGATATGCCAGGTTATGCGTTAGGAAAGTACAAAAAAAAAAAAAATAGTATCCGAAACAAAAAGAAATGTATGCTTTGAATTCTACAATGTTCTTGTCTATTTTGAAACAGTGTCTATACTTAAACTTGTGTAGTTTTCTGAACGAACGTCGGTAAGCGCGCCCAAAGTGAGAATGAACTTACTACTAAGGAGATGGTAAAATGGGTGGTATGTCTAGAAAATTGTCTAGTTCCCGGGATTGTCTAGGACTGCTTAGTGCCTAGCGGTCGCGGAAGAGTACCGAGTGAAGTGCATCGATGTCCACCTCCACGCCAGACGAGTTTGTGGTCACGGTGCGAGAGCTACGGACGAGAACGTTGAACAACACTGCTTGATATCTTTTAAGCATTTCACTCACCTGGCGTTGTGCGAGGAACGGAGGGAGGAGTGCGGATTGACCAGCACACAGTGCATTGGCTGGTCATCGAACTCACGATGGTGATATGCGTCTACGGCCATCTCGGCGTGTTTCAGTGACTTGTAAATAACTTCGGCGGTGCCGGGACGCACCACATGTGCGTCGTACATTGGGCCGATGTCGCTAAAGAGCTCGCGAATATCTGCAGTGGTCACGTTAGCATGCAAATTGCTCACCAGCAGGCGATATCCACCCTTGCTGTTCGACGTACTCAACGGCAATGTGGGTGGTGAACGGCGCATTGTCATGGGGTGGGACATCGATTGAGCTGCACCACCACCAACACCACCGCCACCACCGCCACCAACGACCTGTCCCCGGTTCTCGTTGGCGTAGATCCCATGTGAAACGCGACGATCCGGCTCACCGCCAAACAGACGAGCCCGCAGCGATTCTGGGAGATTGCTTGTGTTTACCTTGTTGCGATGACGGCGCTCGAATAGCTTCTCGCTGGTATCCGTGCGTCCAACTACCAGTGGGGTGGGCAACGAAGGGCGCTCAATGCGATTGCGGGCCACCTCGTAAATAGAGAATGGATCGTTAGCTATATTGTTCTTTAGTGGAGCTGTGGACATCTCCACGTCATCATCGCGGTTCAGGTCGAAGCCACCAAAGGTGTAGCGCGGTGGCGGCTGCTGCTGGCCAGTGTAGCTGCCAAAGTGAAGTGTGCGGGTGATCTCCTCTGAAATTGGAAGAGTGGTTTTAAAGAACGGCTTGGCGGAAAAGGCACTAACTAACCATCCTCGAGGTCCTGCATATTGTCATGATCAACATAGCCCCGTGGAGCAAAGGGTTTGCCCGGCTGATTGGATCTGGGGCCAAAGGAACGACGCAGACCCGCCAATCTGTGGTCACCCAGTCCCACGAGCTCGTCGTCCGTGTCCCATTTCGTCTGGATGGTGCCGCCCGGACGATTTGACATGCTAATGGTGCGCTGACCGAACCGACCCAAGTGCACTCCCGTTCCGCGTGCGTGACGTGATGATTTGAACGACTCTTCTTCATCATCAGGCACTGGGCCCGCCGGGCGGGCCTTCTTCCGATCCAGCAACAGCTGGCGGGCATCGATGCCAGAATCGCGCATGCTCTGGTTGATCAGATCCCGGGCATCACCTATCTTGGCACGTGCCTTCTGGATGATCTTGTTCCTTGCATCGAAGGTGTGCTTTGTGGGCGGATCGGACAGGGATCCTCCTGCGCCCGATGGCTTGAAAGAAGGCTTGTTCAGCAAGCGGCGCGGCTTGGAGTAGTTCGCATTGCTGCAATAAGAAACACATTGAGTGCAACGCCATTTTTTCGGCTGTCCGGCAAATGCACTTACAACTTTTTGTCGATGGGACGATAACCGCCGTGCCCGCGCTTCCGCTCAATAATCTCGTCCAGACTCAGTTCCATGTCCATGGCTCCCGGCTTTTGCTTTTCACACCCTTTTCTAAGCTATATATATTACGAAAAAATCCTTTGAATTTGCCTGATAACTCGTACTCTGTTTGTAAAAAAAAACTCTGGCGTTTCACTGGTGAAACTCGGGGATGCTGTTTGTACTATCGCCCTGCACTATCGATAGGAACTATCGCTTTTAAATATTTTCGTGTTATTGTAATAACAAAATTATGAATATCTGCAGGAATAAAATTGTATAGAAGAAATCATATATGTAATCATATAATAGTAGTATTAGAAATATTAATATTATTATTAATAGAAATAATACTATATACTACTAATACTGATATACTACAAATACTAATATAGTGCTATGGCATACCAATGGTAAAAAAGGAGGACTGTTTACGACAACAAAATCAGTTTCAAGATTACATGAAGACAACAAATTATGTAAATTTACAACAACATTAACAACAAATTAAATATAAACGCTAGTTCTAGATGATTGATGTTTTGAATATTTCCAGTACTGATTTTATATTGTATTTTGAATATTTTTTATGAATAAACATTTTAAAATAAATATGATAACATTTCAAACACTTGTATGAATAACATTTGCCTGGTTATTTGCTCAAGAGGGATGCCAATGTGATCTTGCAAGTAATCACACTTAAGAACACATACACTACAAAAAAAAATACAAAAAAAAATAAATACACATACACATACACACACACATACACATACGCATACACATACACATACACACATACACACATACACACATACACACACACACACACACACACACACACACACACACACACACACACACACACACACACACACACACACACACACACACATACACACATACACACATACACATACACATACAGTGACTACACATACAGTGACTACACATACACTACATATACACATACACTATACATACACTACACTCACTGCTCGACCTCTACTGCTCTAAATTAGAAGACATGTCTTACAGTCTTAGCTAGAACTAGTTGGGAATTATAGGGCTACAAGAAAATATGCTTCCCAAACAAATATTAAAAGCGGCAATAACTATGGGTTCCAACAGTAAGTTAAACATTCTTCAGGCTTTATTTAAGAAAATGTTTACTACTCACTTTAAAGACCTCACTATTTCGCTCACTAATATAATTATGACAAAATAATAGATTATTATTTAATTAGTTACAGCTCGAGATTAATTTAGTAGCACTTTGTATACCTCCTGATCACTCCGGGTAGCTAAATAAGCAGTTAAATAAGAAACATGAAGTTAATAAGAATCTTTTATATTTTTATATTTCTTTTATATATTTTTGTTTGAAAACAAAAAAAAATCGAAAATTTTAAATATATCGACATTTTTTTTTGATATTTTAAATATTATCATCATTGTTTTTGATTAAAAAAATAACATCTATACGATATTTTGTTAATATCACGACATCCCTACTTGTCAGCCCACAATGCTCCGAATACCCTTAGGAAACATAATCACTCACTGACATCAAGCGTCCCTAATTCACAATGTGCCCCTTCACTTGCACTTTTGCGATTGGGTGCCACCCGACGACTGGTCACACTGCTGCCTGCACAACAACAAAAACAACACGCAGAAAAAACAGCAAAATAGAGCCAGCCTTAGCTACCAAATATTTATATTAGAATTTCACCTTTCCCGGCTGCGAAGTGCGCGCTTTTTACTGCGATTTTTCGGCTGTCCCCCTCACACACACGCACACGAACGGTGATTGCGCAATTCCAGTGGAACGAGTGTGGTGGTGTGCGGCGTGTGTGTGTAAACAACAAACGGACGACAAGGAAACAGAAGCAGAAACAACGGGAATTGATTGGGACGAGTGGAGCTTTTGATGGGCAACTCGCAACCGCGTAATGCAAGCAGAAGCAGAAGGACATCGCAGTGGCCACAAGGCGCAGCGGAACTAGGCGCCACAGCCACCGATCACCACTACCACCAGGAGGAGCTGCATCAGGAGCAACAGCAGCCACAGCAACAACAGCAGCAACAGGAGCTGGAGCAACAGAGCAGCAGGAGAATCCAGTTCCAGGCCCATACCAACCTCCCAACCCAGTCCAATCCTCCGGGCGAGGAGGAACAGCCTGTACAATCACAGCAGGTAGGTAATGAGTAAGAAGAGTCGCAAGTGGAGTGGGTGGTGGGTGGGCGTTGTGGTATATAGGACAGGCTGATAAGGCAACCCACATAGGCACATGTGTACATATATATGTACATACGTAAATATGTAGAATTTGTTGGCCATGTTTGCCCTCGTCAGCGCGAATAAGTACTGCGTCATTAATGGGTGTTGGGTTCGCGTTTTCCCCATTCAATTACGCTGCGGCTTTTGACCCCTGACCCCCCATGAAAACCCCCCTCCTTCCTCGGGGCTCCCCAAAAGCAGCACGTGTGTGGGCGCTCTTTTCCGCACTTTTTAAATGCCCCGAGTATTTCCGCATTCGCATACGGATTTCATGGCCATGCCAATTGAGCCTCCCGCTGCGCAAATTCTGGCGCCCCCTTATCAAATCCGCCCGCCCGCGTGCCCCCTTCTGTATTCTCTGCATGAATCTGAGGATCGCACAGCCCACACGGAGATCCAGATCCAAAGATCTGTATATTACGCCCCACATGCGTGTGTGTAGCCATACGGAATGGTGACCCTCAAGCTAAGAAACGCTGGCCACAGTCGCGGGCAACCATATTGGTACATGTTTTGCAAAAGCGTACAAAACAAGAGATAAGACTTTTAATGGCGAAAACTTATGTATTAATCTTTCAGCAGTAGTTTATTTATGAAATTTTCAGATTGGCAAAAATAACAGCTGTGCATTGTTTGTCAAACGTTTGTTGGAAGAACAAATTTTAAATCAACGTGTTAGCTATAAATTTGTTTTGATTCGTTTAGGAAGTATACTTCATCTTAAGAACATTCAATTATATACCTCGTGGTAAGAACATTTAATCGTTCGCTATATTAACCAGTTTGGCATTAACTACAAATCAGTAATTTCATGAAGAGCGACGGTTTTTTTTCTTTTGCCGAACAACAGATGATCACTTTTGGTGGACACGACTGTATAAGCTGGTGTCGATTTGCTCTCTCGCTCACTTCTGCGTTCCGTTCCCAGCTGTTTGATCATCGGTGGCGTTGTTTGCAAATATTCACAGGCCATAACGCACGTGTCGTCGCCCAGTGAACATCGCAGAACCGTCTCCTACGCCTCCGTAGAAATTCAAAGATTGCTAGACAGTGTTCTGCGAATTCATTAGCTGAGTTTTCCTGCGGAAAGGGCTAGGGCTAGTGAAAACGACGCAGGTAAGCCGTAATAAATCCGCTGAGCCTGCTTTCATGCCGTTTTGTTGGCTTCAGCACTGGTGGTCATTCAATAGACGAGCAGTTCGCCGCGTGTTCAATGTATAAATACCTTACATACAATGTATGTAGATACACATGGGTTAGATAGAAGTGAAGGGCAAGAATTATGTACTTAATACCAAAAGCTAATGATTCGCATTGTTTCAGCAACAGCTTTCCACCTGGAGTCTTGGCAGCCTTACCGGAGGACGACTTAACTGGAGCTTCTCCGGCGCCCGCAGCTCATTTCGTCATCGAAACAAGGCCACGCGAAAGAGGTAGAATTGCTCAGACTCCTCTCCTTAAGTTTCCATATTTTAAATACCAACATTTCTTCCAGCTTGACCTCACTTCATGGCTCTCGTCGTGGCAAGACACAGTGGCACCGACCTCTGACCAACTCAATCTTCAACTCGCACTTTAAGGAGTCCAGCAAGAACGATCTGTACCGTATCGATCATTTGGTGGCCAAGGGAGCCTTCGGTGTGGTCTTCAAGGTGTCCAGCAAGACTGACAACAGTCTGTGCTACGCCCTAAAAGTGCTGAAGAAATCAAAGGTTGTTAGCATTCAGTTTGCATACTTGCACATATTTAGTAACTCCGCTACTTCTCCAACAGCTCATCGAAGACAACAGCGTGCGGCAGATTAAGGACGAGGCGGACATTCAGAAGGTGTGCGGCCATCATCCGTTTATCGTGAAGCAAGTTGATCTGTGGCAGAACCGTCACAACCTCCATATTCGTACGTTGTGATAAAACTATATTACCGATTTCATGTATATGCTAAATACTTAAATCCACTGCAGTATCGGAGTACGTACCGAACGGCGAGTTGTTCTCAAAGATAACCCATTTCTCCATTGATTTGGTTCGCTTGTACATTGGTGAGATAGCACTTGCCTTGGGTGAGTAAAAGAGGCCTTAAGCCAGCTTAGCAAAATCTCACGTACGCTGTTTTCAGATTTTCTCCACAACGCTGGGATTATATATCGCGATGCGAAGCCGGAGAACATCCTGCTAACTCAACAGTTTCACATAAAGCTAACCGACTTCGGCCTTAGCAAGTGGCTCAAACTGGGGGCAAACACGCGCACCATGTGTGGCACTTTCAAATACATGGGTACGATCTAATCCAACTTAAACATACAAATACTTAAGTAATAGATTTAGCTGTTAAAAGGCGCACCGATCCATCGCCATCCAAATCGTTCAAAGGCATTTTCGAAACGAAAGCCCAGCAAAAGTAAAGGGAACAGAGCAGTATAGGAAAATAGAGCATATATAACCTCCTGTTACTCTAGGATACTACTATTTAAGCATGAAACTACATATGTACATTTAATGAGAAAGGTTATTCAACTACGAACATTACTGTGAGCCAGTAAAAATATCGGAGAACCAAGGTCAGAATTAAGAGGCATAACATAGCAGGCAGGTAAGGGAACAATTAGGGAACAAGGCAAACCAAAGTCACAATACCGACGTAACACTGTACATAGGCAGCACAGCACACAAACACAGAAGTTATCGCGATGAACGCGCGTTCACAGGTCTTTGATCTGACCATGGAGGGTCGTCAGGTGGACGAGGCGGTGGCCACCATCTTTCACACCGTCCTCTTCCACCGCTGCCTGGGCAAGTACATGTACACGGGCGACGCCCAGTACTCGATTGGCACAGTCGGCTACACGGACGTCGACTGCAACTTCATCGACTTCACCTACGTGTGCTGCACCTCGGACAGCTTGACGCACAAGGTGAAGCGGGCCATCAACTCGTTTAGCGAGAAACTGCGCTCCAACGAGAGCTGCGGCTCCGGCCAGATCAGTCTGGAGTTCTTCCAGAAAAAGAAGAACCGCTGGCCCTTCCCGCAGGAGTCGATCCCGTGGGAGGTGTGGACGGTGCACCTGGATCTGATCAAGCACGAAAACGAGGATGAGAGGCAGCTGTGCCGCGAGAATGTCTCCGATCTCCTGACCGAAAAGGTCATATACATCACCGAGCTGATGAATCGGCACGACTACGTGCCCAAGACGCCCAGCCAGAGCGAACTGGACCTGATCTTCGACACATCCTTTCCGGACGTGCAGCCGTATTTGTTTAAGTTTGACTACTCCACCTCGGGCTCGGCTGCTCCCTCCATGGGTAACGCCATGAAGAAGATTATCAAAGAGACCCTCGCAATGTGACGGGCTGGCGGGGGAATCGTGATCGCTCCATCATTGTGTAGTTGGGTCACTTCGGTGATTATTGCTTAGTTGCTCGCGAGTTAATTTATTTGTAGATTCTTTTTTTTCAACCGTTTACTCCTAGTGTTTCGTTGCCCATGACCAAGAATGAGTCGTAGACCAGGATGATAAGATGAAACGCGCAGTAATTAATTATTTATGGCACGTCCCTGCTGAACTAGATCGTTTTACGTGTAGGCTGTCATCTTAACATTTTTGCCTTAATACTTTTAGTTGTTATTATTGCCTTAGATGTCCATTAGGTTCCATTGACCACCGCTTAATCCCCGAGCATGATATGGGTAAATTGAGGACTCATGTCCACGGCAGGACTTAAAAGTAGAAGGGAGACCTGCGTTGATAGCCATGGAATGCCAAAAGGAGATGGCTGTAGATTGCATAGGCCACCATTAGCTATCCAGATCCCACCAAATGTATAAGCTATATCCCCGTTATTATCCATGCAAGACGTTCCAGAAACAAGCTTTGAGCTCCACTAGCAAGCAGTTAGCTGTCAGCCGAGCAAATTTATTGTGTTAATTATATCTTAATCGCCAGTGTAAATAACGAAAATGATGCAAGCTATGAAATTGTACGCGGTGTGCGAGAGAAGAACAGAAGTAAGCAACCTTAACGAACTCAAAACCCATCTAAAACTAATGTTGAGATCGAAGCAAGTGGCGGTGAGGCGGTAGAAATGTATGTATAAAAGATTGTGATTGTACTTGTAGTGATTAAACGATAGTACCGACTCCATGTATCAATGGATCAACGGATCAAGGGATCCAATATATAGACGTGTATGTATGTAAATCAATGTTTATCTGTATGTCCAAGCTATAAAAGTAATCGATAAATGTACTTTACGACTTAACTACTATTGTAAAATCGAATTAAGCAGAATAAATCCTTTGAAGCACACGTTCAAAGTAGAAATGTAATTGGCCTTTTTGCGAGCATTATCCCAATGATCCATCCAATCATCTCGACCAGCCATGTCTCGTTGCAAGTTCCAAGTTCCCCAAGCTGTCCGTTTGTGTTGTCCGTATACCGCATCCACATATACCCATGTCCGTATACCCACATGTCATCCGAATTCGGCGCGCCGAACAAACCATTGCCTCTGCACCATTTGTTTGCGGGTGGGTAAAACGTTCTCCCCCTCTCGTATCGTTTCAGCCCCGGAGATTCTGTGCGGGGAACCTTATGGCCATGCGGTGGACTGGTGGGCCTTGGGCGTCATTGCCTGTCAGATGCTGACGCAGAAGGTAAGCGACCAAATCCGGTAGTCGGTAATTCAATCGGCGGTAATAACCATTCAGAATGCGAGCATGCGCCATCTCGGCGATCCGATTGGTTTTCCGACGCAATAGCGATAGCTCTAGCTAGCCTTACTATGTACGAGTATATCCATAGTGCAGTCTCAGCAGATCTGAAACTGGGAAACTGGTTTGCTGCATTGCATCTGTGGGGAATACTCGGTGTGTTTACCCCATGTCCACCATGAAGCTCTATAATCCGAGCGTTTATAATTGGACTAGCCGTCAGAATCGGAGCTCTATAATCAAGTGTTTTTTCTATTCAATTCGAAGTCTGTATTTATCTATTCCACGTTCAGGACCAGACGTTTCCAATTCCCCCAAGTTGGGGACTCCATTCCCCAGATAGTACTCGTTGCGTTTTAGTTTTTCGATTTTTATTTAAGAATTTTCTCAGTCTATATAAAAGCATATATACTTCTTCTCATATATACGTTATAACACTATCGTTATTAAATGTAGTTTCATTATGTTAGAGCTCAAATAAAAAAAAAAAGGTTTTTTTCATTTATAATGTATCATAGGCGATACTCATCGATTGCTGGCTTCGTTCTGTGTGTTATTTGTAGAAAGGACTTGGTCTTGAACTTGGTCTTGGTCTTGGTTCGGACATGGATAGGCTGATCTAGGAGTTTTGGGGACGGGCGGGTACCGGGTGGTTGTCGTGCAATGACTAAGATTTAATTAAGATTACATTAATTAAATTATAATTATAAGTATTACTTTATGCCATCTTAGCGGTTTGTCCTGTTTGTTGTGTGTTTTGATTTGTTATGCCTACGCGTGGTTACCTTCCGATCCACTTGGTTCTATTGATCCTGGGCCGCCATCCTCTCCACAGTTCTGCCCTTCATATTCATTGTATGATTGTATGATTTTTTGTGTGTCATTTCGTTCTGCTCCATTTACAACTAAGGATACCACTAACTACGATCGTAATATTAAGGCGCTGCCAAGGCGTAGCAGTGGTGCGATGGTCGGGAGGGTTGGTGGTGCTGGTGGTGCTAGTGGTGCGGGTGCGGGTGCGGGTTAAGGCAAGGTGGTAGATGTAAAGCTCTTACTATCCCTAGTTCTCCATCGATTCGCTGCTCTCCCCTGACTCCTTGGACTCCGAGGACTCATCGACCTTGGACTCGGACTTGTCTGACTTCTCCTCCTCCGACTTTTTGGGCTCGGCCGATGGTGCCTGGGCAATGGGCTCGGCAATGGCCTCCTGGCCCTTGGCCACTGGCTCGGCAGCTGGTGCTTCGTCGATCTTCTTGGCCTCGGGCACGGCAGCAGTGGCGGCGACGGGGGCGACGGGCTCAGGTGCTCCAACTGGGGCTACTGTCTCCTCCGACTTCTTCTGTTCTGGCAGGACCTTGGCGGCGGTATCAGCGGCTGGCTGTTCCTTCTCCAGCTCCTTGACGGCCTCCGTCAGCTTGGTGGCACCGGCCGGGGCAAATGGGGCATTGGTCTTTAGGACGGGAGCGGACTCGGCAACGGTTTCGGTGCTCTTCTGCTGGTCAACTGACTTGGGGGCCTCACCGGACTTGGCCTGGGCGGCTTGGGCAGCAGGAGAAGCAGCCGCAGCAGCGGGGGACGACTCGATGGACTTCTTCTCGGGTGCAATCACCTGGATGTTGGAATCCGACTTGGGGGCTTCGGGGGCGGCGGTGGGTGCGGCTTCAGCTGGCTTGGCCTTGGCGGGCTCCTCGGGGGCAGCAGCATCCTTCTTGGCCTCCTTCTGTTCGATTTCGTTGATCCTCTCCTGGCGGGCTGGCTGCTCGGGCACGGTGATTTCCTTCTCGGCGGCCACTACGGCGGGAATGGCTGGCTCCTCGGCGGACTTGGCATCGATCTTGGGCTCCTGGGGCTTGGCCTCCTCGACAACTTGCTTCTGCACCTCGGCATTGGCGGCTGGCGCTTCGGGGGCCTGTTCAATTGCCTTGGTGGCCTGGGGCTGAGCGGGTTCCACAGCGGGTTCGGCCTCCGTGCGGGCGGTCTTCTCCTGCTTCTTCTCGGCCTCTATGGGAGCTGTCTCCTGGGCGGGCTTGGTCTCCTCGGGCAGGGTCTTCTTCTCGGGAATGGCTGGAGCGGTCTCTACGTCTGGCGCACTCGACTTGAGCTCCACGCTGTTGATGATCTCCTTGGCTGGCTCGGCGGCGGGAGTGATGGGAGCGGCGGTGGCGGGGGCGGCGGCAGCGGGCTGCTCCGGAACGGCGGCCTTGGTCTCGATGTTCTTGGTCTCCGCCGGTTTCTCGACCTCGGGCTTCAAGGGAGCAGGCTCAACGGCGGTGGGCAGCACGGTCTTGGTCAGCAGCTCGGCCTTGGCGGCATTTTCCGGCTGGATGGCCACCTCCTCGTCGGGCACGGGCAGCGCCCAAACGCTGGCCAGGCACACGGTGGCCACGAAAAGCAGTTGGCACTTCATTCTGGAATGGAAACGGCAGACGGGGGACATTAATTTAGAACCCACAAAGCACTCGGCTGCACAATGACCCTCACTGAGATTTTTTTTTAGTCGTCCGGACTTTCTATTCCGTTTTAAATTCCCCAATCATCGTTTCGTCTTCCGCGGAATTACGTTCTGGTTCGTTTGGTTCTTTTGTAATTTGATTAAATGAAATTCTACCTCTGAATTAAATTGGCTGTCGTCGGCAGTTCGTAGACCCGGTTGGCGGCCAGTCCTGCTGGCATCCCACTGGCAGCCCACTGGCTGTGCATCTAATGATGCCTCCTTTCTCCCGGCGCCGACTGGCCCACATTGAAAGCGTTGTTTAATTATTCAAATGCGGCACTTAAACGGTGATCACTTTAGTTTCTCAAAGCTGACCATCTCGGACCATTTCGGACCATCTGATAACGACTGACTTGCAAATTTACGCCGCTAGACGGCCATCTGCTCATTTCCTTATGCTAATTAATTCAGCTGCTTTATGGCCATCGATAAGCCCCAATTTATTCAACGAAAAATATCAGATATAACGGTTCGGACTCCAATCTAATGGGGTTCTTGAGCCCAGCCTCATAAATAAAATGCATTGTGTTGTATGGCTGCACAACTCCTCTATTCGACTGCTGGTCTGGCCATTATTTCGTGGGTGTTACGCAACGCCGTCTGGGCGAGAAGCCATGGTTCCCCCATGCCATGATACGATCTTTATAATTTACGAGCGGCTCTTGTTGGCCAAAACTGCATTTAGGTACGTCGTCGCCAAGACTTGGCAATCGAAACTCGTTAAGAGACGGTGACGCTGACGGTGATTTGCGAAACCCAATCGGCTGGTTCACCCATTTGGCCACTTCGATAGCCCAGCGATGCAGATAAGGCAGGCTCGTTGCTAGCGCTAAGGATTCCACCCGGGTCACCACTGTTTCGATACCTTGGCCTTGGCCAGCACTCACCTTTTGATTGAAGCGGCTACGTCGATTTAAAAACTGAGTTTGCTTTGGCACTGCGTATCTCACAGATACACTTATTGTTAACGATTTGCGGTTTTGCAGTTTTAGTTTGAGAATATTCTGGGATTTCGTTTCGCGCCCTGCAACAAAACACACAACGCACAGAGTTAAAAAAAAATAGTAGATTTTTGTTAAAAAAAAAGTAATATATATATATAATTGTGTGTGCGATGTGGAGGATTCGTGTGGTGTAGGTAGGTATATTCTTAATCCACTGCGCTGCTGGCCTGGCCTGCCGCGTGTTCTCACCGGTCAGTTTCAAGAAACACTTTGATTGGATGCCAGCGCGCCGGGGCGTTTATATACACTCGTCGCCGGATCACGAACGCCCGAAGTCGACGTCGGCAGAGCATCGGCGGTATGGCCATAGACAGCGTGCTAGGCACGAACGTCGCAGCAGCAGCAGCAGCGGCGGCGGCAGCAGGCGCAGCAGCAACAGCAACAACAGCAGCCGCATCAAGACGCTGCACGCAGCAGGCACAGCAGGCAGAATCTTTGGAGGATGGGGCAGCGGGAGTGCGTACGTGAGAGTCGCGCAAGGATCCCGCGGATATGGATATTTTTAGTTCGGCGTTCTAAGCCGCTCCAGCGCCCCATCCCCAATCCCAGCTCCCATCCAGAACCCTTTCTCCATAAATAGACGGCAAATTGTTCACTGTGCGCTGTCTATTTTTAAAGCGAATGCAATTTGTAAGCCTTCTGCAAAGACTTCTTTGGCAGACCGCAGATACCTGGTACCTGGTATCTGGTATCTGGTACTTGGTAACTGGCAACTGGCGGTAGGATCTATTTATAAAATCGAGCTAGCCAGGATCGCTGGCTGCCCGGCCGCCTGGCCGCTGATCGATT